TCGTTTTAACTCTGAGGTTCGTTTTAACTCTGAGGATCGTTTTAACTTTGAGGATCGTTTTAACTCTGTGAGGCTCGTTTTAACTCTGAGGATCGTTTTAACTCTCTAAGGCTTAAAACAGTAAAAATCAAGAGGCTCTGAGTCTAATGAATGTTTTCGCTGCTTTCGAGCCCAAACTAAAGACTTGAGCTTCTGTTTCACTCTGTTTGGATGCAGACGCTGCAGAAACAGACGTCTGCTCACAGACGCTTTAGTTTGGCAACACGGAACCGACAAGAACAAACCTGCAGAACATCGTCTGATGAGTTTTTAACAATGAAACCTCGTCAGCAGAGAACAGATTTCTTGCTGCCGTCTGATTCCTGCAGGAACGTTGCTGCCTCCAGGTTCTTCTGGGTTCCACGTTGTTCAGGGTTCATCGACTGCTCCAGGCCGAGCGGAACCACGAGACCGTTCAGGTCATCTGTGGCCTTCGGTCACTGCTGACACCAGCCAGAGATCAGAAACCGCTCCGAGTCCAACAGACCCGTGTTCACGCTTCACCGGTTCTGCTGACGGAAACAAGCAGGTTTGTTCTGAAGGCTGTCAACGTGTGAACGACGTGTTCTCCATCACACGGGCCAGTAAATAAAGAAGATCAGGTTTTAGACCTGCAGCACCTTCAAACTCCTTTAAAAGCATTTATGAGCCAGAAGCTCAACTGACTGGAACGGACCTCAAACACATCGTTAGTTCAATCAGGAGAAACGAACCCAACGTTACGAACTACAGTCACTTCCTTTTTCTTCACGTCTCATTTATCAACACTCTGCATCAGCCCATCGGTCCGGTCCAATGCTGTCTGTTAGCTTTCACCTCGTTTCATCAGCGTCTGGAGAATCTGTAAATCCATCAGTTTGTCAAGTTTACTCTGTTCTTTAGTCCCGTTGGCAGGAGGCTGGCTGCAGCTGCACACCTGATGAGAACTCACCTGGAATATGTCGGAGAATAAACATGACCTCCATCAGAGCTTCACACATAAAACTGGTTCTGTGTGAACAACAGCTGCAGCAGTTCCACGGCTGTTTGGTCAATCTAACCTCAGAAAGTGGATCCAGGTAGGTCCAGGTAGGTCCGGGTTGGTCCAGGTAGGTCTGGGTAGGTCCAGGTAGGTCCAGGTAGGTCCGGGTTGGTCCAGGTGTTCTCATTACCAGGTCATTAGCAGCTCTTGAAGCGTTCCAGTAACAGCTCCACGCCGGTCACGTCGTTCTCCGTCACAGTTGTGGTTTTAATACTTTTTTGAATAATAATGTTGGAATGATTTAAACCAAAACAACCACTTCAAAGGTTTGGGACTGCTGCCTCCGGCGCCCCCCGCTGGTCACAGACAGAAAACATATGGCCTCAGAACAGTGTGAGAAACGTTCCCACAACGTTTCCTGAGTTAACCTCCTCCAGCTGAACATCAACGGCAGTAAGTCGACAAACTCTGAGCGACACGTGTTGAAATCTCAGAAATGTTTTCCAGCTGTCGCCTCCCAGCAGCAGAACATCCAGAGGTTCTGAGCCTGTCGGGCTGATTTATGGCTCATCCCCTGCACAGAACCCAGGTTTAGAAACAGCACAGTCATGGTTCTTCACTTCAAACTGAGACGGTAACCAGGAGGTGAGTTCTGGTTGTTGAGGCGACTCTGGATCAAAGCTACAGGGTTCTGCTTCACTTCACCAAACACACCAACAACAAGAACGTTCAAGAAGTCGCTGGTTTCTCCTGAAGCTCTCAGACGTTCATGAGCAGATGCTGGTAATCACCTGATGGTCACCAGACTGGATGTCCCCCTTACTGGGGCTCAGACCAGCCAGTGGATCAGACCAGAACACCAGAAAAACTGATTTTCACATAATTAAACTTTGTTTTCGGTCTCAGAGGAACCAGGTGCGTGAGAGTCTCCAGAGAGGTGAGCTTCTTCTGTAGTCTTATCAGGTCATAGATCTTTCATTAGTTCTTAATGGCTGATAATAATAATCATGAACACGTCTGGTCCTGCTGCTTCATCTTGTTCATGTTGTCCAGACAAACCCAAAATCAGCAGCTGTGGTTCTGCCGTCATGTCTCCTGCAGGTCATCCGACACACCCCACTGTCAGGCTGGACAGAAGCTCATGAGGTTCTCCTCCACTCAGACCTCCTCGCGCTGCCTTCAGCGGCCGTATTTTTATAAAAGCCGGTTTATTTTGGGCCGACTTTAATCAGCGCCGGCCCCCCCGGCCGGGCTGAGTGTGGACACACTGAGTGTAAAGAGCAGCATGAAAGCCCCCCATTAGCCCACCGTGCACTTCCAAATGTTTGGCTAACGTTACGACGGCCTCCCGGGGCTTCAGGCCCACTCAAACAGCACCGCTCTGCTTGTGGGGGGGAACCCGGCAGCACACAGATATTTATCAGGCTTCCCTCCGACTCAACACCAGCGAGCCACTGTGTTTTCAATTATCTCCAGCGCTCTGCTCTGTGGTCGACTGATGCGTCCTTGATTTCTACCCAGAAACAGCAGCTTGACTGTAAAGGTCAGCGCGTGAACACCAAACACACAATGAGCACATTATTTGTGAAACGTGCGGCTGCCAGCAGCCTGTGGATGATGCAACAGGCCTTTTTCATTCATTAGTCACATAAACAGGATCCATTGTTCCTCCACGGTCGCCGTATAAAAACGTTTAGCTGCTGGATGAGCAGTGCCAGAGAGAATCATGGGAGCAGTTTGTCTGCAAATGAGTGGAGTTCCTTCCACTTTATGAGCTCCTCTGGCTGGAGCCGCTGCAGGAACACAAAGTCCAGCAGATTTCTGTACAGCAGCAACAAAAGGAGGCGAGCCGACCTGTGGTCCTGCTGCCCGGCCTGGAAACACCAACCTCTATTTACCTGCACGTAAACAGGTAGAGAAAAAGTGTTTTCCTGGCACGGCGGCGGCGCCGGGGTCCGGGCCAGGAAAGCTGTTTTACATTCACAGAAAATTGCTGCGTCTTGGCAGCGACCCACGTACACAAAACAAAAGTGGGCTTTAATCT